GCGGTGTGCAACCGCCTGGGATCACCGCGCGTGTCAGCCTGAAGAGACGCATAGTCTGGTCGACACGTTCGGTGAGATGTCCTCGATATGAGTCCAGAACGAGGAGGACGTCCTTCTGCCTGCCGCCCTCGTCCCGCAGGGGCCGCATGAAGGGGACGAGGACTTGGGTAGTCCAGTCCTGGACGAGGTTCTCGTCTATCCATCCCCGTGCCTGCGCACAGATAACAACGCCTACACACCGCATGATGCACTTCAGTCGCATGTACAAGGGTATGAGTAACATGCGCAACGGCAATAATGACTCACCTCGCGGAACTTTGACCTTCGGGATTGTCTTGCGCTTGAACACCATATACGGTGGCAACTTCAAGCCGCTCGCCGTCACCGCCAGCATAACGGCGAGGCGCTCCTTCTCGTAACCCGTGGTACGGACGTGCACGGTGCGCGCCCCCTTCATCTCCAATGTGCATTCCTGCGGCATCTCCAGGAAGAGCGGCGTCTGATCAGCGTTAACAATCAGACTGGTGGGGTAGGAGTTCAGGACTTGCATCTGCCGAACAAACTCCCAGAAGGATTCCACCTTGGCCTTCAAATCTGCAAGGAGAGAGAACATAGAAATTGTTAGTCGTGGAACAACATCGATTACATACACGAGCCCGGTTTCCGTGGGCAAATATAGCAACAAGGCAAAGGGACTCACTGTCAGCCAACTTTTGGCCCATCTTTGTCTTGACACGCTTTGCCAAGGACCACCGCACGCGGAAACGGAAAGTCCAACGGTTAGACCCGCGCCAGTCGGCCTGAGGGTGTCGGTGCTTCATGTATTGCCACGATCACTTCTAAAGCATGCTCACAGAGACGGCCAGACCCTTGGCACGGTGCGCAAAAAACCGACGGTAGATAGACCGCTCCATGAAAGGCCACTTGGCCTTACGGCATGCGCCAACGAGGCGACGACGACACGCCGCTGGAACAAGGAGTCGCTCCTTCAATTTCCGCCATTTGCGAATCTGCTTCGGTTGCACGTTAGCTAGCCGCGCCAACCCCCGGATGCTGAGATCGGGCTGCGTGTCTAGCATATCCAGCCAGTACAGCTTCTCCCTCGCCGTGTACGCATGCCGCGCCTTCTTCGTCATACGGTGGCGAGGCGAGGAGGGTGGCGCTGCATCCTGGACCTTCTTCTTCTTGCCTTGCGGATGTGACGACTACGGAAATACGGGGACACGGACTGTGGGAAGGGGGGCTCGTGGGGTACGACCGCTATGAGAATTCTCACTCGAAGACGGTACTGGCGTGGGCAGCACATGGCGCGGTGTAGTCCTAACACGAGCAGGTTGACGGACGGTTGTTGCACGAGGGCGACGGGATTCTGACGTGCCTGAATTGGGCGTTGACACCATGTTGAAACCCTTTTTCTGCCTAATGCTATGCCTGGCATTCTTCGCGCTCTGAATTTAATATGTCGTGCTAGTCCCGCTATGCTAGACTCTGCCGAGCTGCGCTCCCCATTGCACAGAGGTGGGTCCGTTCCCTGGCGGTGTCAAATTCGCTTGTGCACGAGACGTGACAGAGAGACCGCGACTCTGTGCTGAGAGCCTCACGTAGCATGCAAGGGATGAGATGTCCGAGGCGGTCTGACATAAAGCATTGGACGTGGTACACATTGGTCGGCCCCCAATCTGTAATGCTGGTTACCATTGAATATGGGCCAATGAGCATGAAGCATTCAGATGCTTCATGGATTGTGCCCGGTTTCTCGGCTCAGGACATTCGCATGGTGTTTCCTCGTTTAAAAAACGCAAATCTGCATTACAACACCCTTGCATTTCATTATTTTTTAAAAAACATAGCACTTATAATAAGACCCGGGTCTTATAGGTTTTTTACAATTTTATAAGACCCCCCACATTTTTTTGTGAAATCAATAACAGACCCTAGGGTCTTTTATCCCGGGGAATACGGTAGCCGACCTGCTCACACAGCGCGAGAAAACCGCTGGTGTAATCTTGGACAGACCCGAGTTGTCGCCAAGTGCATAGTTTCTGGCTTGCTGAGATTGAAGCCGCGATCGGCTCGAAGCGCGCCCGAAGCCCTGCGCACCACACGTCCCACGTGCTGTATTGAGCGGTTTCGTAGAACGAACTCCAGATTACAGCTGGGCCCACGGGCCTCTTGCGACAGTGGCTCATAGGCACTCGGCGACGTCACAATGAATCGCCACCAGTCCATGGCGGGGCACCGCAACAATGATACGGCGTACCGGATCTTCGCTGCATCCGACGTGCCGTAATTCCCGTAAAAAAACACGTTCATCGTGAAAATCCACGATTGAACCGTCGGACCTCCACGCTGGCTAGGATCGAAGCAGGGCGGGTGCTGCGGCCTGAGTGGCATCGGCTCACCAATGTCGTTGTTGCCGGCATGTGTGTTGATACTGTGTCGGGCGAGCTCAGCGAGAGCCTCAGTCGTGGCTGAGTGTGCTTACGAGAGAGCACACGAGCAGCGGTGCTTGGTCGCTGAGGGACGTCTACCCCCTCCAAAAAATTGAGATAATGGGGAAGCGAAGGTGTGGGCGCAGTCCGAGAAGGGATCGTAGGCTCTGAATACCAAGTGTTACGAGTGCAATTAAAACAGGAAGGCCAAGAAGGCCTAAATTGGTTTAACCTTCATAGCTTCGGTTGAGTTTGGCCCTGACACCCAAAATCTTGGCCAATTACATTGCTCGCCCCAACCAACCTTCCTAAGGTTGAACTTCTTGGTCCGCAGGTTTTAAGTGAGCAATCGAAGATTGCACTATCGAAGGAAGAGTACAATGAGCGAAGGAATGAGCGAACAATACATAGCGAAAGCCTAGCGTGGTAACGGTCATGCCCGAGAATGTGGTGAGTGACGGGCCTGGCGCCGAGGTTGGGAAATGTCGAGGCGGAGGACCGGATAGCAGGTTACCAACCGAACCGTGAGGTTGGTGTCAGAATCCCAACCACTAGACAATTGGGATAAAATGGCTTGTTAAGTAGCGGGTCAGTGCGCCCATAACCCCCAAGGATAACGAGTCTGTAACCCTTCCTTAGGATTAATCGGGGATCACCAGTGGACCTCTGACACCCCCCCGCACTGGGATGCCTGAAGTGCACACACTGGGATTCGAACCCGAAACATTCGCTCTGATACCATGTCAGAATCCCAACCACTAGACCATTGGGATAAAATGGCTTGTTAAGTAGCGGGTCAGTGCGCCCATAACTCCCCTGGACAATGAGCCTGTAACCCTTCCCTAAGATCAATCGGGGATCACCACTGGACCTCTGACCAGCGAAAGAAGGAGAGGACAAGTGATGAGGAGGAGGGACAGCGGAGAGGAGGTGGTGGGTGGCGGCTGAAGCTGCTGGCACATGGGCAACTGGAGAAACTGGCACACGGGCAACTGGAGCAACTGGCACACGGGCAACTGGAGTAACTGGCTCTACGGCTAGACGAGCGGCTGGAGCAACTGACTCACGGGCAACTGGAGCAACGAGCTCACAGGCGACTGGAGCAACGGGCTCACAGACGACTGGAGCTGCTGACTTCACGGCGGCCACCCCCCTTCAAGCTCCCCCCCCCTTCCCCAAACCTCCCCCCCACAGCAGCAGAAGTTGCAAAGAGAGACAGGGCAGTCAGGGCAGGCACAAGGCAGGGGCGGCTCAGGGCAGGGGTGGCTGGAAACGGAGAGGAGAGAGGGGGGGGGGGGGGGGGGGGGGGGGGGGGGCGAGGCGTGTGGTGCTGCAGATCCCCTCCTGCCACCGCCTTAACCTCCAAGCTCATCCCCCCCCCTCCCAACACAACAACAGGCGGCAGGGAGAGAGAGGAGGAGGAGGTGGGCAGCTGGCGCTGCAGAACCCCTCCTGCCATCTCCTCACCCTCCACTATCCGCCACCCCCAGCACCCTACCCCCCACAGGCGCTGGTGCTGGCAGAGGCACGGGCAGGGCGCGGGCTCCACTCCCCTGCCACCTCCCCCCCACCCGCCACCTCCTCGCACTGCAGAAGCAGGCGCGGGCAGGAAAGGCAATGGGGGGGAAGAAAACGGGACCGGGGGGAGGGAAAGGGCCGCGACGACCGCCACGAGCGTTGTCCCCCCGACAAATCTTCCCCTCCCTCCTCCCCCTCCCCCCCTTTGGTGCACCAGCAGCAGTGAGAAGGGGGGTAAATGGGGAGGGGCGGCGCAGCAGGCGGCTGCAGTTGCGCGTATGTCTGCAGCTGCACGTGACACTGCAGTCGTGCGTGCGGCTGCTGCTGTGCATTTCGCAGCAAGTTTAGTGGTGCACCTCTCTTTTCCTTGCATATATGTTTCCAACTTTCTATAGTAAAATCCTCTTCCTTTCTACTCTCGATAGTTGCCTAGCACCCAAACCATAGGCACTACTAAGCTTACCTTAACAGTTGGGTCGCGAGCAGGGCCCACGTTATCAGAGTAAATCACTCTGTTTCTCTGAAAATCAGAGTTGTTTTTTAGAGGGACTCTGTACCTGCTGGGTTATGATTTTGGGAGTTGCGTTTTCTCTTATGTATCAGAGTTGAGATATAGTTCACTCTGAGGCCCCAGGGTTTTTTTTCTAAGGATGGTGTTTACTCTGTACAGAGGATACAGGCCCCCTAGACCCCCCCCCCTCCCCCCCCCCCCCCTTTCCCCAATTACTGGGGTTAAACCGAGTCGCCGAGCACTTCATCAAGATTCGCTTCGTGTGTTGGCGGCATTTTGCGAGCTGATTGGCTGGAGTGGCAGTTTTCCCAGCCAGCGCACACTGTTACACATCTGAACTTCAGTCAGGATCAAGGAATGATACAGCGCACGGAAGGTGTAAACGTGGGCGACGCGGCCAAGCCCTGCTAGTGCTCGGCTGGCTCACCGGGGGGTGAACCCGTGTTTCTCCATCCATTTCCACAATCCGTGATCAGGCTTAAGGTACCCAGCATCACTACCACGCCTCAAGCCACCCTTCTCCTGCAGCCTTGCCACAGATGGCTAACGACGCAGACCACGCTGACACTGCTGCGCCTGATCGTGATCCCGGCCCGTCATGCAGCTCTCGCCCCATCACAGGTATGGAGTTTCTGCGCAGGGTACATCGTTCCCACGAGCACGCCGGCGACCAGCAAGATGGCGGTGGTGACTACTGGGGAGGCGACGATTGGTATCGTCGGGATGGACCGGACGACGACGAGCATTCCGATGGGGTCGAGGTGTGGGTTCGCTCGCCACGCCAAGAAGATGAAGACCACGACGGACAGAACGAGGTGTGCGATGGATCGCACCACCCAAGCATCGCTGAACCGGCCGAGACAGCACCAACACAGGTCGTGGATGCGTCTGTTCCAGACTCGACCGCCTCACAGACGCCGAAGAAGCGGCGCTTGACGCAGTCCGTGCTCGGGATTGGTCTGCAGCCCGTTAAGCCTGCACCGACTCCGCCGCCACCTGCCAAGAAAACAACACCTGTAGTCCGACTCACCGCAGAGGAGAAGAAGGAGAAGTTGTATTTGAAGGCCCAGAAAAGCTACACGTCGGAATGGCTTCCGCGGTTCCCATGGTTAATCCTTGATAAATCGACTGACGGTTTCCCTTGTGTTCGCTGCAGTGTCTGTATAGAGCACGGGAAGGACGATGCTCGCTACGGCCGCAATGGGAAAGGAGGTCGGGACCTCCAGATTGGGTCCTTTCGCTGGCACGAGGAGAGCGTGAAGCACGACGATGCCATGAAGAAGCAAATGGGTCTGATGAAGAACATCGAGGAGCAGAAACGCATCGATGACTTTGCGAAGGGCGATCCGGAGGGCGCGCGGATTTCGCGGCTAATGCGGAGCATCGTGTTTGTGTGCAAGACGGACACACCGATTCAGATGTACCCCAGGCTCGTGCAGTTTCTTGCTGAGGAGGGCGTCGCCGACATACCGCGACAGTCTTACGGCGTGTACATCACACAGTGAGTCTCACTTGATGTTGAACCCCGTACTCCTTGATTTTCCTGTTTTTTTTCAATATGCACTAACAACGAACCGTTGGTTGTGGCCAGGTACGGCTTTTCGGAAATGGTAAAGGCTTTAACCACTTTCCTTCACCGCGAGCAAATGCGACACGTGCACTCGTCGCCATACATTGGCATCATGTGCGACGAGAGCACAGACCGCGCTCGTGGCAAACACATGATTGTGTTTGTCACTTTCCTGAAGGACCGCGTGGTGGTAACGGAGTTCTTGACGCTCCTTACCGTCACTCAATGTGACGCGGCGTCGCTGCATGCCGTTCTGCTCCAACATCTGGAGTCCATCGGCATCGACCTTCAGAAAATTGTTGGGATGTCAACAGACGGCGCCTCTGTCATGGTCGGATCGGAAACTGGGCCTTCGCATGCAGATTGCGCATCTCGTCGGGTGCCACTGCATCGCGCACAGGTGTGTTATTATTCCAAAATGTTTTTGGTATTTTAACACGGTAAAACATCTCTCTGAGTCTATGTGATTTTCTTTTTGTGGTTTACATATCCTACTCTGCAACCCCCTGTTCCCTACCGTGCAGAGAAGCGTTAGCTGTCAAGAATGCAGCACAGGCCTATCCAGACTTCAACATCGTGGACGACGCCATCAGGGCCCTCGGGTCGATTGTCGGGAAGTCAACTCCCTGGTATGAGCGGTTCAAGGAGTTGCAGTAGGTGTACCACAAGACCAATCTAGAGCACCAGGGGCTCCACAACGTGCGCTGGCTGGCACGGGGCGAGGCAGTGCTGCGGATGTGCCGGGTTCTTGGGGCGGCGATCTGCGTCTTCATCGAGTACGAGCACAAGATAGCCAGCACCGTGCAGACGTTGAAGTTTCACTTCTGCGTTTATTTTCTGGCAGACATCTTGGCCGAGCTCAACAATCTGAACCGGTTTTTCCAGAGGCGAAAGGTAATGTTATGCAGTATTATCTCGACGCTGTTTCCCACTTCTGCCTGGTGGTTTACACGTTTGTTTACTCTGTAATGTGAACTTATTATGTTTGGCTGTATTATCTCAAACCCTCCCGCCCTCCGCCCAGGTGGACGTCACAATCGTGGCGCAGGAGGTGGACCGCACGGTGTCGTACATCCAACACCGCTACATCGACTACGAGACGAAGTTCGGGGAGGGCCTTAGCCCACAGCTGTCGCCTTTCCTGGAGCGCCACAAGGATGGCAAGCGTGAGCTGAAAGTGGAGGGCGTGGACTCCAACGGCCGCGCAGTGAGCCAGGAGATTGTTCTAAGCGAGGCGCCCATCGCTGGCCACAAGTTTGGCGGAACAATGCGCGACTGCGAGAAGATGTGCAAGGCATTCGCCAAGCAGACCGTCCATAATCTCACCGAGCGGATGGCGGATCTTCGTCGCATGGGCGGGACGAGGCTGTTCAAGGTGGAATCGTGGCCCCCCAACCTCGACACACGCGAGCGGCGCTGCCTCATGTGGCTTCGGCAAAACTCTGTGCTGTTCAACAACTGTCTGCCCGGTGAGAATCTAGAACACTTTGTCAGTTGCGCATGTCTGGTGTTGTTTGGCTAAGCTCTGCTATCAGTAAATTATTTCAGTTTAAAACCCAAATTTGTCCCTGCGCGCAGGTTTCGACTTGCGGGCAGCAGAGCTCGAGCTGAAGACGTTCTGCCACATCCTCAAGAACCACCACAAGGACGAGGACTTTCATCAGGGGCTCCAAAACATGCTAAAGACGCGCGACTGGGCTCGCACGTACCCCAACCTGATGCTGATGTGGCAGGCGTTGTCCGTGCTACCGCTCAGCACTGTTGAGTGCGAACGTGGGTTCAGCAGGCAGAACGTCATCAAGAGCTGGATACGCTCGTCACTCAACGACGCTCGTCTGACAGAGCTGATGAGCATCCACATGCTCCAGTACGACTTCGTGTGGCATGAAGTCGTTGACATCTGGCGCAATCAGAAGAAGCGTCGCCCCGCCAAGAAACCTGCGCACGGCGCACCAGTTTGCGCAAGGGGGAAGGCGAAGATCGAGTCTGATGCGGAATCGGAGGGCGAGGATGACTTCTACTAGTGTAGCCCAAGGGCCTCCTCTTTATTAGTTAGTTAGTATCGGATTTTCTATATTACATTCAATTATGAAATACATTCGTGACTGAACTGAACCGTGTGAGTGACAACAAAACGCAAAACAGTTGAAAAAACAATACTCCCATTCCATACTTCTCACACAACATTTTACACTACGATCAGAGTACAAAAAAAAAATTACTCTGACGTGCCAGGGTTTTTAATCCACGTAATAGGGTTACTCTGTCAGCTCAGAGTAAGGCGTAGGAACCACTCTGGATTTCAGAGTTCGCATAAAAACTACTCTGAAAACCAGAGTACCGAAAAACCAAAAGAAGGCCCTGGTCGCGAGGTGTACAGTGGCAGGAACAGTGGTCAAGGCGAGTGTCGCGAGCGGGTAACATTTTACTGTTGGGTGCTGTTGGCGGAAACAGTCGTGTACGCGTTAAGCCGGGGCGCAAAGGAAAAGGAATTTTCCTTACAAGTGGTATGGATTGGATCTAGACATGACTGAATTAGGTACCAGAGCGTTCTATTTTTGCTGGACAAATGTCTTGCCCGCCCATTATCATATATCCACTGTACAATGGCGTGAGCGCTAGAGACAAAATGCATATTCAACAGTGAAAATATTCACCTCGTTCTGGCGTTGTGCTGGGTACAATACGCACATGTTATACACCCTTCATACAGTCAGCAGCTCTCTTGCACCCTCAGGCTGCCTTGAAACAAAGCCTCTGCATCCCTCTCTTGCATATCCGATGCACACACGCCATTGTCTTGACCTTCACCACCCGTGACATGAACTGCAGGAGCAGCTTCCCCCAAACCACTTTCCAAACCTGCATCGGATGCTGGTTCCGGGGCTAGATCCATCTCAGTCCGGCCCACAGCTGCAGCCTCGGCTGCTGCTGCTGTTACCTCTGTAGCCTCTGGAACCTCTGCACCCTCTGTGGGTTTTGTGCTCCCTGCACCACTCACTCCTTTCAGTTTTTCTGCTCCATCTCCGGCGATTAAACCAGCCACTGCCTCGGTAACTGCTGCGTCAGTGAGTGCTGCATTTGCTGCTTCCGCTGCTGCGGCATCAAATGATACAGCCGGAACCCAAGGGGCAGGTTCTGATCCAATACCAAAGCTCCGATGCTCACCTTCCCCACCATACCCCGCCTCTTGACCTCCATCCTCCATCATTGCATCTTCCACGTACCCCGACCCTCCCACAGGGTCCCAATTAATGGCAAATTTGGTAACTCTGGGCTTCTCAGCCCAGATGTTGCGCGACAGCTTATCAAACACGACCTTGGAAGGGGGTTCCTGCTGCAGCTCCTCGTCCACGTACTCGTTATTGACATAATACCCGACTTGGATAAACTTCTGCTCTCGGTATGCGCATGTGAGCAGCAGAACGGTGACTCCTAGGATCTCGCCCTCCGCGATTTTGGACACTTCAGGTGGGTCCGCCTGCAGATAAGGAAGCAATGGAGACGGAAGTGAAAGCAGCAACAGATGCGTATCTACATTTGAAGCGCCTCACAAACCAATTCAGGTGGGCCTGCCTGTGGTCAAGAAAGCGATGGATATGGCAACCAGGCAGCAACGCGTGAGAAATCAACAGGCAAGAAACTTGAGAATTGAGTTGGCCTCACTTTTGCCACTAGCTCACATAACAAGAAAGCATTTCAATAGGAGACTCTGATAGACACCTTAATATCATGCCAATTTCTACTCTTGACTCAACTGACGAGGAAACTTACTTCGAGGATGAACCTGAAGCAGCCAACGTTGACCGGGCCAACCAAAACGCTCTCCAGCACCTGATCATACGCCGGGTCGTTGGCCGATCCCACATACACGATCGACCACTCCAAATCTGAAGAGACAGGGGTGTGGAGGAGTTGAGTGCGGTAGCATGAGGTGGTTTCACGGTGCGCCCTCTAGCACTTGGTCGTACGCAAGGTCGTTGGCCGATCCCACATACCCAATCGACTCAGTCTTTGCCAGCCTGTGGGAAGGTGGATGCGATGGGAATGAGGCAACAACGATGCTCGAGGAATGCAACGCTTCACCGGGTCGAACATGATGTTCTCAGAACCAGCTCGTGGTGCGCGAGCATAAAATCTTGATCCGTTTGAAAGGAAGCCCGGGTACGGGCCTACATGCGGACTTCCGTACTTCGAGGTTCATGCTTCCGTATCATTCACCAGTCACTGAGCACCCTGGCGGAGCACGTACCGTCCTCCAACGGGCGGATGCAGTCGTAGGAGATCTCGAGGCGGAGCGGCGAGAGGAACGGCCCGGGGTTTTCGAGCACCTTGACTTGCGTGATCGTCACGGCGCTCATGACTGCGATGCGCCGGCTGCCTCGACTGCGATATACGCGCTATGCGCAATATGCGTTATGCGCGCCGCTAGAATACGCGCTATACGGCCAAGTAAATTGAGCAGGAAATTGCGTGCGTTACTGAGACGCCTGGAAACGCGTCTACGGTGCTGTAAGCAGGTCTGAAGAAAGGCGATAACTCAAGTTGAGTCACTGAGATTTGCCGGATATGAAGAACTAGGATGGAGACGCAAGCGGCACCAAGTGGATTCGGACTGATTGCGAGGCTAGGAAGAGTATGGAGGAGCAATAGTAGATACCGAGGAAGCGTCAAGATACTGAGGAAGGGGTGATGTGAAGAGTTTGACTGCTTGCTTCTTCGAGCCTGAAGGTGAGCTGGCAATCACAAATTCAAGCACCCACGTTTCAGTCAGTTCGAAATTTCAAACCGTCATACGCGCTACAGAACCCAAGCAGGAGATTGCTAGCGCCGATTGTAATTTTGGTGAATATCTTGAAGTTCCGATATTACGAATGTTCAGCAACATTCGGATTCGCCGTTTTGCGCAATCAACCTTGTAACAAATGCAAATCGCCCTTCATTTAGTACGCGCTGTAAGATCATGCACCCACACATCCGCCTCACCCTACTTCCTAAACCTCGTCGTCTCCTTAAAGCGACGGGCAACTTTTGGCAGTGTTGGGTTCAGAAGTTTTTTTTTTGAACCAGGCTTGCCAGCGCGAAAGTGCTGGCTGGCGAAAACCAGGATTTCGTGCGGACACTTTCCATCCGCAGTAACAGTTCGCCAGGGTTCTGGGTTTTGGGTGGCAAATGTGCACCGTCGCTTTAAACTTTACCCCTGCCGAATCGCTCTCTCCTAATTCCAACGAGCACCGTTTCTTTCTTCTGACGTTTACGCTCGATACCACAGTTCCTTGGTTGGTTGCCGCTTCAGAATACGTAAATCACAGCGAGGCACTCACAGCAGCGCACCGTACCTTCGAGTTGACCCGAGAGTGACCTTAACCGACAGCCACGGGAGACAGACTCATAGGAAATTGAGGCAATCACAGTGGCGTGCCGTACCTGCTCCAACAACCGCGGGAACATTCGACGGCCAAAGGAGCATTTGACGGTCAGGGGAATAGCGACGTGATCTAAATATTCGTTTTGAGACGTCTCAAGGCAGCAGCCATGTTTAAAGCTTCGAGGGCGACGACGAGGAAGGGGAAGCTTGTTCTAGATTCTCGCGCACCCAAGATAGTACGTTCCTTAATATGCGGTTCCTAATTCCGTTCTTATCTGCCGCTCGTGGATTGGCGCCCCTTAGTGCCGCTACTTAATAATGTCGTTCCGTTTTTAGTCTTATTGAGTCTGAAACAGTGCGCTCTGTACGTATTTCATATTCCCTTGAACCAATGTTGTTTGGTTTTCGATTTCCATCTTGGAGATACGTTTTTTGCCCGAGTTAACGCAATAGCCGCACGTGCGATTCGTGTGCGATTCAACATAAACCCTCTCCTCTCCCCCCTGTCCCGCTCTCTCTCTCCCTCTCGTTCCCCCTCTTCCTTCCCGTCCCCCTTCCCTCCCCCCTCCCCCTCCCTTTCGCCCTCCCCTCCCGGCCTTCCTTCCCTTCCCACCCCTCCCAAACCCCCGTCTCCCTTCACCAGAAAGAGAACGTCCGGCAGGCACTGCTGCTGCGCGGCACTAGGTCCAGTGCGATCCTGAACGGTGTAATGTCAGACGTGCATCATCTGAAGCGGTTCAGCGGGGGCTCGCTGAAGCTCTCGCGCGCCAACGAGCATGTGCGGCCCTTCGAGGCCGGCGGCGAGGCGCCGCTAGAGCAGCTGGCGAAGAAAACAGACAGCAGCTTGTTCATGGTGCGGGGTGAGAGGTCCACGGTTGAGGGTTTAAGACAGGGTTAGGAATCTTAGAGGGGTTTATGGTGAATTTTAAGGGTTTAAGCCGAAGTGACTTCTGCGTCATCCAAGCGTCAAGGGCGAAGTAAACAGACAGCAGCCTGTTCGTGGTGACACTCAAGAATTGGGGTGTAGGGCTTTTCGGGCTTTCAGTAGGGTTGTTAACAGTGAGGGCCGAGGTTTTGAGCCGAGAAGTGAGGGTAACGCGCCTCAACACCATCTTCCCTCTATTTCCCCCCATTCACTCCCTCCCTCCGTCCCTCCCCCTCCCTTCCCCCCCTCTCAGTTCGCCTCGCATTCAAAGAAGCGACCCCACAATCTAGTGATGGGGCGAATGTACGACTACCACCTGTACGACATGCTCGAGGTGGGGGTCACACGTCACGTCAGCATCCAACAGCTCAAAGGAGGCGGCAAGCTCTCCCCGCAGGTGGGTTTAGAAAAAAAAGGGGGGGGAGGGTGGGGGGGTGAGGGGGAGGGGAGGGAAGGGAGGGGGGTCAAGGGCCAGGTCAAGGAGGAGGCTATTTCTCTCTGCAGGTGGGATTCCATGAGGGGGTATGCGGAAGGGGAAGAGGAGGGGGCAACCCCCCCGGCAGGTGGGTTTTTATGAGGGAAGGTGCGGAGAAAGGGGAATACGGAAAAGGGAAAATAGAGACAAATCATCTCACAACACGTCCCCCTCACTTCTTCCTCTTCCCGTCCTCCCCCCCCTCAGGTCGGCTCGAAGCCGTGTTTCTGTTTCATCGGAACCGAGTTTGACAGCGACCCGGCAGCAGTGCAGCTCAAGAGCCTCTTGCTGGACTTTTTCAGAGGCGAGGTGGGTGTGGGCAACTGGGTTGGTGGGTGTTTGGTGTCATGGTAGCAACAGCAGCAATGCAGCTCAAGAGATAGCTTGGCTTATTCAAAGGAGAGGTGTCTTGGTGTCTTTCTGCTGCCCGCCTTGTTTCGCTGCCACTTTCCCTTTCACAACTCTCGAGGTGTCTTGAAGTTGCCCCATTCACTTTCGCTCGTGATTCTTGAGGCCCCTGAAACCTCACCCCATTTCCAAATATCAAGTATCCACACCTCCCACTTCTCTTTTCCCCTGTCTGTCGACCATTCCTTCCCAACCATTCTCAACCATTCACACATTTGTTTTGTGTGCAATTCTTCTGCCTCTCAGGTCGCGGCCACAGTGGATCTGGCGGGCCTTGACAGAGTCTTCGTGTGCGCCGCTCAAAACGGCAAGGTAGCCAACTACCTCCTGTGAAGCGAGGCAGGGACAAGGCAATCAAGCTGCTTTCTTCTCGACCCTGCAATCCTCGCTCATTCTAGCCCCCCGTTCTTTCAACCTAGAGTCATTGATTGCTTAACCTCCCCCTCCTTCAAGGTGCCGCGGGTGGTGCTCGTGCCAGCAAGCAATACCGAATTCCTCCCAACTCTCCACACGCCCCCCCTTGTTCCAGGTCCTGTTTCGGCACTGCGCCATCCGCCTCAAGAGGTCGGGCACCAAGGTGCCGCGGGTGGTGCTCGTGCCCATCGGGCCGTCCATTGACTTTGAGATCCGACGAACGAGATTGCCCGGGGAGGAGCTGAGGAAGGAGGCGATGCGGGCAGTGAAGCTTGGGCAGGAGAAGAAGGTGAGGAGGGGGGACGAGGGATAGTGGAAAAGGGTGAATGGGGAATGGGAAGTGGGTGTGGATGGGGATATGGGGGCGTGGAGGTATGCCTCTCAAAACCACACCCCCTTCGTTTCTGTGCCGGCCATTCTTCTCCCCCCTTCTTCCTCCCTCCCCTCCCCCTGCAGATCAAGAACGTGAAGTCGGACATAATAAAGGGCAAGGTGGGGCGCATCTACATGCCGAAGCAGGAGGTGGGGTCGATGTCACTGATGAAGATGAAGGGGCTCAAGAGGGAGCGCAGGGAGGCAGCTGCTACAAGGAAGAAGGCCAAGCAGGATGCCCCGGCCAAGGGGGGCGAGGGGAGAGGGGTAGAGGCAGCAGATGGTGGTGTTGGTGGTGCTCAGGAGTAGTAGTCTGTCTGGGCTTGAGACATATGACAGCTGTGACTTGTATTGGTGTATTTGGCTGGTTGCATATGGTGTGGAAGTGTGCGGGGATGGTGGTGAGGTGGTAAGTGGGGGAGCAGGGAGAGGGGACAGATGTTGGTGCTGGTGGTGCTCAGGAGTTCGTGTTGAGGCTCTTCCTGGTAGGGGTGGTGTAGGCACAGGCGAAGCACGACGCTCCGACAAAGGAGGGAGAAGGGGTGGATGGGCGGGAAGGTGGTGGTGGTGGTGGTGCTCGAGCTGCACAAGCAGCAGAGCGAGTGGGTCTGGCTGTTGAATTGTTTTTTGCAAACCGTAATACCCCCCGGATATAAGACCATAGAGTTTTAATAAATTTTCAAAATAAAAATGTGGGGGGTCTAAACATAGTGTCATAATTCTATAGAGCTGGGTCTTATCATATTACTGTCGAGAGGAGAAACAGGGACATGATAATGGTGTGGATCCCAAAATAAAAATGTGGGGGGTCTAAACATAGTGTCATAATTCTATAGAGTTGGGTCTTACCATATTACTGTCGAGAGGAGAATCAGGGACATGATAATGATGTAGATCCCAACCAATCAGCTAGAGAGAGCAGCTGATGACGCATGGATAGACCTCCAAGGCACATCTGCACAGCCGAGTGTCAGAGGTCCACTGGTGATCCCCGATTGATCCTAGGGAAGGGTTACAGGCTCGTTGTCCTGGGGGGTTATGGGCGCACTGACCCGCTACTTAAAAAGCCATTTTATCCCAATGGTCTAGTGGTTGGGATTTTGACATGGTATCAGAGCGAATGTCTCGGGTTCGAATCCCAGTGTGTGCACTTCGGGCATCCCAGTGCGGGGGGGTGTCAGAGGTCCACTGGTGATCCCCGATTGATCATAGGGAAGGGTTACAAGCTCGTTGTCCTGGGGGGTTCTGGGCGCACTGACCCGCTACTTAAGAAGACCCTTTTATCCCAATGGTCTAGTGGTTGGGATTCTGACATCGAGACCAGCTGATGCCATCTGCATTAGCCCTATGAAGACCCCCGACGCTCAATGTTGTTAGTCCACGACGTATCGCTCAGGCC